GAAATATTCATTGTTACTGCTTTTGTGTTTCCTGCCTTTGTACTGTCACTTTTGGTCTCTCCTTTCCACTCAAAGTGTCTCCTTTAATATCTCTTGAGGGGTTGGTTTAGTCGTCATGAACTCCCTTAGTTTTTGTTTGTCTGGGAAACGTTTTCTCTCTCCTTCTGTTTTTGAATGATGTTATTGCTGGATAGGGAGTATTCTTGGATGCAGATGTTTCCCATTCAGCACTTTGACCAGATCATGCCTCTCCCTTCTGGCTTGCCATGTTTCTGTTGAAAAATCTCCTACTAGCCTTCTGGGTTTTTTCCTTGTAAGTTAATGACTTCTTTTGTCTCATTGCTTTTAAGATTTTTTCTTTATAATTATAGTTTGCAAGCTTAATTACACTGCATCTTGGTGTGGGTCTGCTTTTGTTGATGTTGTCAGGAGTTCTCTGTGCCTCCTGGATCTGGATGTCTGTTTCCTTCCTCAGATTAGGAACATTTTCAGCTATCATTTCTTCAAATATATTTTCTGCCCCCTTTTCTCTCTTCTTCTTCTTCTGGGACTCCTATAATACAAATGTTATTACATTTGATGGATTTCTCTAAGTCCATTCTTGTTTTGTGTAATTCTTTTTTCTCTTTTGTTCAGCTTGATTACTTTCTATGACTCTGCCTTTGAGGCCACTCATTTGTTCCTCTGTTTCTTCTACCCTGTTTTTCATCCCAACACATCTGCTCCCCATTTTGTTTACTGAGCCCTTATAGCTCTGCTGTGTTATTCCTTATCTCTGTGTTAAGGGTCTCACTCACGTCTTCCACTCTTAAGTCTGGTGAGTATCCTTATGATCATTCTTTAAATTCTCTGTCAGGCATGTTACTTATATCTTTTTGATTAGCTCTCTAGCCATGGCCTTGTCCTGTTCTTTCATTTGGGATACGTTTCTCTGTCTCCCCATTTTGTCTGACTCTCTGTGTCTGCTTCTGTGTGTTAAGAAAGTCAGCTATGACTTTGGCTCTTGAAAGTAGTGACTTGGGCGCCTGGGTGGCTCAGTTGTTAAGCATCTGCCTTCAGCGCAGGTCATGATTCCAGAGTTCTGGGATGGAGTCTTGCATCAGGCTCCCTGCTCCATTGGGAGTCTGCTTCTCCCTCTGACCTTCTCCCGTCTCATGCTCTCTCTTACTGTCTCTCTCTCTCAAATAAGTAAAATCTTTTAATTTAAAAAAAATAAATAAATAAGAGAGTAGTGACTTTATGAAGACGAGGCCCTGAGTGTCTTGCAGGGCAGTGTCCCCTGTTCACCAGGACCTGGCCCTTCAGGGGAGTCTCCGGTGTGTTGCTAACACGTTGCTGTGGTGTCTGAGTCACTGCTCCTTTCAGCGCAGTCCACCTCTGAAGGGGCATGCCCACCAGGGAATTTGGGAGCAGGGCGGCAGTTTTAGCCAAGTGCAGTAGGCCACTAGTCCCATGCCAGATCCCCGAAGCACCTAGGCGGCTGTCAGCTGGGGGCTGCGAGCCAGGCGGCTGGGGGTGTGAGGCCCGGCTCGGTGCAATGGTGGGGCGGACAGCGCCAGCAGCTCTGCCCCCTGCGGTTGGTGGGGCATGTGTGCTGCTTTGACAGTATTTGCCCTGAGCCCGGCGGAGGCTACAGGTGTCTGTGCAGCCCCACCCCCTGCACGTGGTTCTGTTCATGCCAGCGATGCGGGAGGGAAAGGGCACCACCAGCTCCCTCGTTTTCAAAAAAGTCCTCCAAGCACGCTCCACAATCAGTTTGAACAGACCTATCTCCTCTTTGCTCCAGATGTTGTATAAATTGCCGTGTTTTGTTTTCAAGATTTATTTATTTATTTATTTATTTGTTTGTTTGTTTGAAAGAGAGGGAGACAGAGAGACAGAGAGAGACAGAGAGAGGGAGAGCAAGCTTGGAGGGGGAGGGGCAGGGGGAGGGAGAGAGAGTCCCAAGCAGACGCCCTGTTGAGTGCAAAGCTAATGACACAGGGTTTGGTCTCACAACCCTGAGCCCCGAGCTGAAACCAAGAGTCGGTCGCTTCCCCGACTGTGCCACCCAGGTGCCCCTAAACTGCCATTTCTACGTTGCCTCGCCACACAGGCTGCTGGCTCTTTAAGGGCGGGGACCCGGCTGTCACTCGCCCTTCTGATTGGACCAGGACTGAGTCAGCTGACTTTTGCAGCTCTAGGCTCCAAGTCTCCCCAAGATTTACAGACTCCTGGAGTGCAGCCGCTCTGGTGCCTAAAGCCAAAGGGTACGGGGATTCGTCTCCCCTGTGTGAGCTCCCTGGTGCCAGGACCCATTTCTCTGCCCTCTCTGTGTGCACAGGTCCCTCCCCGCGGCGGGCAACCTCCCGCCATCTTTCCGACCTTCCTGACCTTTCAGACGCAGCTTCTTCTCTATATTCAGTTGCGGGATTTGTTCTGCTGGTCTTCGGATCACTGTTCGGTTTCTTGACTGGGACGGGGATGATATCTAGTTGTGAGCATGGAAGGGGGTGAGCTCAGGATCCTCCTACCCGTTCCCCGTCCTCTCGAGCTCCAAGTCTCTTGCCCACTTTTAAATCAGATTATTTGGGTTTTGCTACTGAGTCCTTAGATATTCTGGATATTAAGGCTGTACATGGGTGGCTCAGTCAGTTAAGCATCTGCCTTCAGCTCAGGTCATGATCCCAGGGTCCTGGGGTCGAGCCCTGCATCCGACTCCTTGCTCAGCAGGGAGGCTGTTTCTCCCTTTCCTCCTGGTCGTGCGCTCTCTCTCTCTCTCTCTCCTAAATAACTAAATAAAAAAATAAATAAAATATTTTTTAAAAATTTTGGATACTAATCTCTTATAGATAGACGGTTTGCAAATATTTTCTCCCATTCTGTAGGATGCCTTTTTATTTTGCTGACTGTTTCTTTGGCTGTGCAGAGCTTTTTACTTTGATGTAGTCCTGCTTTCTTATTTTGGCTTCTGTTGTTGGTGCTTTTTGTGTCATAGCTAACAATCTTTGCCAAGACCTGACGTTAAGAAGCTTTTCTGCTGTGTTTTCTTGTAGGAGTTTCACAGTTTCAGGCCTTACATTTAAGCCCTTATTCCGTTTTGAGTTAATTTTTGTGAGTGGTGCGGGATAGGAGTTCCATTTTTCCTTCTTCTGTGTGTGGCTGTCTACATTTTGCAGCACCATTAATTTTTTTTTATTTTATTATTATTATTATTATTTGCAGCACCATTAATTGACGACACTACCCTTTCCCCCAGGAGTCTTTTGGCTTCCTTGTCAAATATTGGTTGACCATATGTGCATGGGTTTATTTCTGGGCTCTCAGTTCTGTTCTTTTGGTCTATTTGTCTACTTTTATGATAGTACCATTCTGGTTTCTCCTTTCTTGTTTTTTGGATTTTTGAAAATAACATGCTTCCAGTTTTCAAAAACTGCTATCAGATTCTGCAAAAAATCTGCATATGTCATTGGCAAACGAATGAAATTCTGGTATGTTTTTATTATTTCATTTTTGCTGTACTTTTTAAGGTAAAGGAAAATAACAGCCAGTTTTCAGGTACAATGCTGTTTGATTACTGTAGCTTTATAACAAAGTTTGAAATGAGGAATTATGATGGCTGCAGTTTTGTTCTTCTTTTTCAGGATTGCTTTGGCTATTTGAGGTCTTTTGTTGTCCCATACAAATTATAGCATTGTTTTTTTTCCATTCTTGTGAACAACGTCATTGAAATTTTGACAGCAATTTCATTGACTCTATACCTGCTTTGAATAGTATGGACATTTTTTTAAAAAGATTTTATTTATTTATTTGACAGACAGAGAAATCACAAGTAGGCAGGGAGGAGGCAGGCAGACAGAGGGGGGAAGCAGGCTCCCTGCTGAGCAGAGAGCCTGATGCAACGCTCGATCCCAGGACCCTGAGACCATGACCTGAGCGGAAGGCAGAGGCTTAACCTGCTGAGCCACCCAGGTGCCCCTAGTATGGACATTTTAATGACATACATTCCTCCTCCCTTCTGCTAACTTTAGGCTTACTTTATTCTTCTTGTTCTAGTTCCTGGAGGTGTAGAATTAGGCTGCTTGAGATTTTTCTTCTATGCCTTTATCACTATGAGCTTCGCTCTTAAAACTACTTTCCTGTGGCCCAGGAATTTTGATATCTTGTGTTTCCATTTTTGTTTTTCTCATTTTATTTTTTCGTCATTTCCCTTTTGATTTCTTCTTATTCCCATTGGTTGCTCAGGGGGATGTTGCTTACTTTCCACAGATTTATGAATTTTCTGGTTTTCCTCCGGTTTCATACCATTACCATCAGAAAAGACCCTTGGTATGATTCCCTTCTTAAATTTGCCAAGGCTGTTTGTGACTTAACATATGATCTGTCCAGGGGAATGTGCTCAAGGCTTCCTGGTCATTAGTCTTGCTCTCACCTTGTACATTGTTTTAATTATGAGCCTCTTGTCTTGTTTTTTTTTTTTTTTTCTTAGATTTTTTAAAGATTTTTTTTAGATTTTTAAAAAAGATCTTATTTATTTAACAGAGAGAGGGAGCTCAAGTAGGTAGAGAGTCAGGCAGAGGGAGAATGAGAGGCAGAGCAGGGAGCCTGCTTCTAGGCTCAATCCCAGGACCCTGGGATCATGACCTGAGCTGAAGGCAGACACTTAACCGACTGAGCCACCCAGTCACCCCTCTTGCCTTGTTCTTATTCTTAAGACCCCCCTCTTTGGTTCCTGTTATGTCCTCCTGTTTTGTGTCCCTGCCTGGGTTTCTTACCCAGAATATCAGTTCCCAGTGTTGGGGTTGTGCCCTTGAACCCCAGACCCTCTGGCTGGGTCTTTGTTTCTTCCTGCTGGTCTCCCTCATTCCCACAGTTGATCTGAATGTCTGCCTGTCACTCCTGGTCAGGCTCCTCTGAGACCAGAGGTAGAGCTCTTTCCTCTGGCGGGGGACCGGGAATGAGGGTTGGGGAGGCAGCCGCAGCACCTACATGCCTGTCCACTCTCTCTGCTCTGCCCACAGCACTTCCTCACGGCCCTGGGGGGGCTCGTGGCAGTACCGCTCATCCTGGCCAAGGACCTGTGCCTGCAGCATGACCCCCTGACTCAGAGCTACCTCATCAGCACCATTTTCTTCGTCTCCGGCCTCTGCACTCTCCTGCAAGTGTTTTTAGGAGTCAGGTACGTAAAATTCTTTTCCCTGGCTTCTGACTTTTCCTTGCTGGAGTATCAGCAAGATTTGCTCGGCTTGCAGCTGGAGAGGTGGTTAGGCAGCTGGTGGGACCTGCTAAAGAGAACACGGGACTAGGAATCAGAGCCTGGGTTCAAGTCCTTACTCCAACACTTAACTGTCTGTACTAGCTAGGATTCTTTTTTTTTTTTTTTTTAAAGATTTTATTTATTTATTTGTCAGAAAGATAGAGAGAGTACAGGCAGGCAGAGTGGCAGATAGAGGCAGAGGGAGAAGCAGGCTCCCTGCGGAGCAAGGAGCCCGACGTGGGACTTGATCCCAGGACCCTGAGATCATGACCTGAGCCAAAGGCAGCCGCTTAACCAACTGAGCCACCCAGGCATCCCACTAGCTAGGATTCTTGATTAAAGTTACATAAATCCGGATTAGTTTAGGCAAAAATTTGTTCTTTATTAATGTATAAGATCAAGGTAGGAGAAAGGCAAGGTGCATCACATGTCAGGAATAGGGACTCAGAAGATGGGACTTCTCTTGTTTCTATAGAGGCCTGCCCCTAACGTTTGTGAGATGCAGGGCAAGAATACAAACAGGTTCCCACACACTGTGTGTCTAAATATTGGAGAGTTACAAACCGAAGTTACAAATTCTTAAATAAGATCTGTTCTGATCATTCCACCTGGAAGGCCAGGTTTGAATTTAGAATTCTGCCACTGCTCAAAGTTCTACTTTAGGACTTAGCCTCATGGGAGGCAGGGGCAACCCCTAGCCTGTGGCCTTCTCCCTTCTCTTCCTACCTCAAGCTTTGATTCAGAGCACAAATGGTCTAACATGCATGAATGTGGACACCCCAGCCTGCATGTCCAAGCTCCACACCCAGCCCCAACACACACATATGCGCACACGCACACACACACACACACACACACACCAGATTCCCCAAACAGCAGACGCTTGGCCCTCCTTAGGCTTGGGGGTGTACACATTTGCTTCATGGTTGGCCTTCAGCAGGACAGACCTGGGGAGGAGACCCAAGCAGCCTCTGGAAAAGACTCAGGGCCATTTACACTGAGAATCCTTGGCTCTCAAGGGGGAGAGGCACATGGGTTTGACGTGGACATGTCTCCCAGAGAAGGCAGAGTGGAGCCCTCTGGAGCATCGGGCTAGGTGTGGGGGGCTCTTCTGTCCTGTCTGAAGACAGTCTCCTCATCACACTGCCAGTGCCTGACTTTGTTGGCACAGACAGACTCCCCACATAGGAGTGTAGACAGGCTCTGGCAGTCCTTGCACTTCTCTCCCAAAGCAGGTGAGATCTGCTCTGGAGATTCTCCCATTTTAGAATCCCAGGGAAGAGCACTGATTGGTGCAATGTAAGCCAAATGCCCAGCTCTCACCCACCGGGGTGACAAATATGGAGACTCCCCTTGAGGAATTTCCCAAAGAGGCAGGGAAGAGGAGTTCTGTTCTGAGGAGACAAGATGGCAGAGGCTCACTAGTGGGATATGTGGTTTGGGACCCATAAAACAAGGTCGATGCCGGCACTGCCTTTCCTCCCTTAGGGTCCCACTGAGATGAGCAATTGTTCAAATCGGTGCAGTCACCTTTTAGAAACAAAAAACATCCAGTCCCTTGTGCACCTATGTAGGCCGCTAAAATTAGCCTGAGTAACATGGAGTCTTTTTGCTCTGGCGCTGGCCTGGACAAATTGTGAGGCCAGGAAAATGTTTCCTTGGAGCTTTCCTCCTCCTCATTTCCACACCTCCCCTCTTCCTGCTCTCCACCACTACCCCCTGCCCCACCTTAATTCCCAGAGTTCCACACAGTGGCTCTGTTGGGCTGCCATCTGCTCGGGAAATCCCTCTCTGTGGCCCTCTCTGGCCCTCTTCTGCTCACCCCCTCACCTCAGACCTGTTAGTCCTGTGTCTTCTCCCTTTAACATTAATTGAGCATCTAGTCCAAGAACAGATCCGGGTTCTGTTCCGCCTGAAGCTTACACAGTTTTTGGCATCCTCTTTAAGGAAAAGGAATCCAGAAGTATGAATACAAAAGCATATGTGAGAGAGAATATTATTAACTTGGAAAAAATCACAACAAATCACAAATTTTGAAAAGTAAATAAACACCACAAATGCCGTAAATTCCAAAATACAGCATGGCGTTTTTATTATTCAACATTCTTACGGCACCCTATCATACTTCTCCCCCACATTTTATGCCTGCGGGCTCTTTTCTTCTTTAATTGAAGGTTGTGTACTCTTTGATCACCTCTTCATTTTATAAAGAGAAGGAGAGATCGTTCAGTCACTCCTCTAGCACGGGTTCGTCCAAGTTTGCTTGGAAATACTGCTAGCTGAGATACAGAAATGCTGCTGTAGATTTGTGCCCTGCAAACACAGAAATTCTGTTGTATTTAATTTCTATCAAAAAATTTTAAAATGAGCACTGCATTTATAAGTGTATATGGTGCGTTATTAAGTATATTCTTTTTTTTAAGAGTTTATTTATTTATTTGACAGACAGAGATCACAAGTAGGCAGAGAGACAGGCAGAGAGAGAGGGGGAAGCAGGCTCCCTGCCGAGCAAAGAGCCTGATGCGGGGCTCGATTCCAGGACACTGAGATCATGACCTGAGCCGGAGGCAGGGGTTTAATCCACTGAGCCACCCAGGCGCCCCTATTAAGTATATTCTTGAGAGGAGACAGCTTCCATCTTGACTGCATAGAAATGAGAACCAAATCTTCTCTGGCAGTTTGACATATCTGACGGTGGTCAGATTTTCCACAGACTTGCTTCTGGCACCATGCATTTCAGACCTTGTTTCTCATCCACCACCCACATATGTCAAATGCCAGGTGCAGTGGGACACATTCATAACATCATGTGACCTCAGGTTCTGTGCCCTCATGTCGTGAAGTAGATCGAGCTGGCATGGGGTTGGGGGTAGGAGCATTGCAAGAAACAATCATGACACCAAGGTGGCTAGAAATAAATTAAGTATCCGTGGGTGGCTTAGTGGTCTCAAGCCACGTAAGTACATCCTACCACACTCAAACTCAATTTATCCTGACTCAGCTTCCCCTTAGGCAGATCCTAAAAGTGCCTATGACCTTTCAAATGCCATCTGATGCAAGATTCAGGGTCCGCAAGGTGGCGGTACAGAGACAAGAGTCGTAGCCAAATGTGGCTGAAACTGTTTACTTTTGCGAAGTCGACAAAGACATATGGCTAGTGAACGCAGGGTAGGGACCCCTCCCCGGACTTTAGAAGGAGTCAGGCAAGTGAGAATCCCTTCACCAAAAGTCTCCATTTGACCTAATCTGTGCCAGGCCTGTGCTCAGCCCTGGGGTTGTGAAGGGAAATGGAAAACATTTCCTACAGTGGGCTTCTGGCCTGACCTGTCTGGGCAGAAAATGACTGGACAGGAAAACATTAATATCCATGTCTTCTTTGTCAATTATCTGAATTAAACCACACAGGTCTAGATGATACGGGGCTGGCCCCTTGTTTCCAGGAGAGGCTGACTGTAGACAGCATTCCGAGGACTATATTCACTCTCGGCATGGCCATTTTGCCTGAACCCAATCAAAGGCACTTTGCAAAGTGCTTCCTTTGCAAGTCATTTCCAGGCAATATGCCAAGGCTTAAGTTCTTACGATCTCTCCTGAGGAGTGGGACACACATGCCCACAGCGTTGGTGGGTTAGTTCCCTGCTCTCTCTTTCTTCTGTCACCATCTCTTAGAGCCAAAATTTCTTCCAGATCTCTCACCAAGGACTCAAAGAGGTACAGGGTTTGCTCTGGTTTCTCTCTCAGAACCCTAAAATGCAGATACCTTCCCCCATTTTCCAGGATTGGCCCTAGGAATGTAAGAGGCTGCAGTAGCATTAGGGAGACCTTGCAGGAACCTGCCTGGGGACCTGGGGACCCCACCCCTGTCCCAGCCCTGTGGAGAGTTACACATGGAAGAGCATTGAGCTTCGAAACTGGAGGCCTGAACCCCAGTCTTGGCTTCGGTGCCATGGGAACTTGGACAAGTCACCTACCCTCTTTAAGACTCAGTTTTCTCATCTATAAAGTGAAGGAGTTCAACTATACAGTGTCTGAAGGCCTCTTTGATCTCTGTTATGGACAGCTCTGATGTTGACAGAGAAGGTGATGAAGTGCCCTATTTTAATTGGATTACCAGTAGTAAAAGCACCTGTGGGCTTAGCCTGATGGTGGGTTTTGTGAGAAACACAAACTAATCAGGAGTTAGGATCCAAAGAACTTGAACTTACCCCTTCATTAAATATGCAGAGAAAGAGGGAAATAAAATTAGGAAGTAAAATCACCCTAATGTCTTTAGACTAAGGTGAGGGCAGGAATAAATGTGCGTTTGGTTCTACCCATGGAAATAAGCTCCCCTCCCCCCAGCTGCTGATGAGTAACTTCCTGAGACATTATGGGTTATAAAACCTAGCTAATAGTCTATGACTCAAAGGCCAAGTAGATCTGATTGCTGGTTATTTGCTGACAACCCAAAACAGGCTGATGTTACAATAAGATTTCAGAATATCTTAGTGATTAAAATGACATTAAATAATAAAAAAAATGATAAGAGATGATAACTGCTGCTCTTTTTTTTTTTTTTTAAGGGAGTGCACATGCAATATGGCCGGGGGCGGGGGGCGAGGAAGAGAGAATCTTTAAGCAGGCTGCACGCCCAGTGTGGATCCCAGTGCGGGGCTCCATCTCACTATCCTGAAATCCTGAGCTGAGCCAAAAATCAAGAGTTGGACGCTCAATGGACTGAGCAGCCCAGGTGCACCACTGCTCAGTATCAGAGCTCACAAGAACTGCGCCCAATGTGGGGCAGGCAGCTGTACTCCTTGGCAACATGGATAGCTGCTTCCCTGGTATGACCTTAGGGGTCTTAGGTGCATCCCCCCAGGAGCCTTCCTCACTTAGGCTGGTTCTATAGAAAGGCCATACCCACTGACAGGCATATGTAGTTA